GCAAGTACTTCCACTGTGAAAGTTTCTACTGCTTCAGTGAACTGTTTTTGTTTACTAAGAAAAAGTTAGGATTTAACATTGATCAATAAGGCAAGACAAAAACCTTACAACATATAATCAATAGTTCCCTAAGATAGTCTAGGCAAAGTATATTAACAGGAAAATTCATAATATTCACTGCAGTCTTCAATAATTCTCCAGTAACTTGCAAGTTTAGCTAGAGCATGCTTTAAGCACTGGATTCCTTCCAGGACAGACCAAAGGACGGTGGATGTTTTCTTAAGATGAACTCAAGCAGGAATAGCACTCCTCTCAGAAATGTAAATTAACATTTTCACATCATAATGCAAGATTTTCCTCGCTTAAGTTTCTAATGTTCAATGCAAAGCATTTCCATCTCATAATTGCATGTCACTGGAGTTTGAATTTTTTGAAATTTAAGTCTGCAGAGCTGATTTTAAAGGTTAAAAGAAAGACAAGTCAATTGTACTACTTGCAGTACATGCTTATAAATTCATTAGGCAGACACCAACATAATCTTATTTGCCAGTTTAACTACAAAACTATCATTATTTAACGCAATCTGTATTTAGCAGTCAGACTCAGCTCTGTAGAACTGCTAGCAGTGCTGCCATTACGTATTTGAACAATGATTCCACAGGGTCTTCATTTCCAGTAACCTTTTATTGCACACAATAACTTAAGTGTGAAAAAAGATGAGATACATCCTAATTTCCCAATAAAATCATATGCATTACATAATTTTATTGAAGAGCTATGCTGATAGCAAATTTTATCACTTGAAGTATACTACTGCCCCTTGAACATACAAAGCTACCAACCACCACCACTTCTCCACAACAATGCAATACTTTCAGTTCCTCAGAATTCATAGAATCACAGAATGGTTTGGGTTGGAAAGGACCTTAAAGACCATTGAGTTCCAACCCCCCTGCCATGGGCAGGGACACCTCCCACTAGCCCAGGTTGTTCAAAGCCTCATCCAGCCTGGCCTTGAACCCCTCCAGGGATGGGGCATCCACAGCTTCTCTGGGCAACCTGGGACAGTGCCTCACCACCCTCACAGTGTAGAATTTCTTCTTTGTACCCAGCTAACTCTGCCCTCTTTCAGTTTAAAGCCATTACGCTTTGTCCTATCGCTACATGCCCCTGTAAAATTCACCTGTACCTTCTTAAAAATTCTTTATAGAACAAATAGTGGCACAAATTGGGACAAAACCTATTCCCAGGAAAACACAACATTTATGAATTTTTGTGGCATATTCTCCTTTTACATGGTACGAACTATATTTGTCATCGTCAGTTTTTAACACACAAAAAGCATTACAGTTGTATTTATAACCAGTTAGTACTAATAGTCCCTCTATTATTAGTTACACTGCAGAGAATAAATTGCAGCTCTTCACTATTTGAAATTTTATCTCTCCACCCTAACAAACGTTGGGGAATTCAATTGTTCTCTTACACTTCTAGCACCCCAAAACAGACAGACTTCAAAAACTCTGCATGAACGACCCATCAACTAAGGGTTAATGAATCAACTTCAGTACAGAGAATGATCAACACAAATGAAAAGTCTGAATTTATTTTTTTTTCTACTCAAAATATAATTTGCAACTTGTATCAAGACGACCTTTTCACTACAGGAATAATTTTATTTACTTTCAGAACATTTCTTAGCAGAATATTTAATGGTGCCTTCAAGCCAGCTACAGTACTCAACATATTCAAATTAAGGTAAAATACCAACTGTACTTCAATTTGAAATCCTTCCAATATTTTGTTTCCCTGTTTTTAACACTGCAAGTTGTACATCTAGTACTTATGTCATTATCGAAACCATAATGTAATGCTATCCCTTCCAAAAACTTCTGGTACCAAAAAATTTATAAGATGAATTCCACAGAAATACACTCGGGTTCCATCCGTTACTCTACATGCCTGGATTTGCAATTTCTTATGGTTTATAAGAAAGCATCAAGTTTTTACATTGCCCAACAACTCAAATACAAACTAACCCTTCAGATGCAGCTACAAGCATTTATAAGTATATTAGTAAGTAAAGATATCTTTTTTTCCCTACCACTCTCAGAAGATAGATCCAGACAAAAAATTTGGAAGTTTCAACCTCGAAAAGCATAACATTCACAAAGCTAACCTTCTTACTTTCATCTGTCTTGGAAAGGTGACTACTTACAGATTTGGCAGTTGCAGAAATGTACTGGACAACCATCTCACGTTTTGTGGTCAAGTCTTTATCTCTCAAAGGAGCTTTACGTTCTTCATTGAGATTCATGTCTTCCTGTAAAGAAACAGACCACACAACATCAAGATGTTATTTCATGGTTTATGTCTTTTTTTAATTTTTATACTCCTTTTCTCAAACAAACACAAGTTTGTTTGAAGTTACTTTTTCCAGCTTATCTGTGTTTCAGTTTGTTTAATTCTGAGCTACCCAATTTTCTCATTTAATTCTGTCACTTCAAGTGTTTGCTGTTATCAAGACTTATCCAAAGTCATACTTGTATAAAGGGTAGTTATCATTAAGTTTGGCTCAAAAAAAGCTAGAGGACAAAACCAAAAAATTCTACAACTCAAGTTGATGACATGAGTGTTAACTCTTGGGAAGTCCCTGTGTTTTTTACAAAATCTTATCACAATGGACACCATTCCTACACTATCTAATCAGCAGGCTGTTATTACATAGATTACTGTGGCAGGGGTAGGCGTGAATGTATTCCAACTGATGTATTTACAACAAACCTAGAAATACAAATATTCTACTGGATTAAATATAAATATGCCTGTTTCAATTTAATATCTAAATATAACATGCATTCATTACTAGTCACATCTAGTCTTGTCATTAAAAGTCAAAGTAACTTCAGATTCGCAACTAAAACCAGTAAAAGTTTCTGTAATCATTTACTAGCTAACAAGTTTTTCAAAGAATTATTAGTCGCTGGAAGACAGACCTATTGTCAGCTTCAATTAACATTGCTTGGAAAAATTAAAAGTTAACCCCTTAATCTAACAAGCAAATCAAGCAAGTATTAATTAACATCCCATCTTTCGGAAGAGATTCACAACTTCATTGAACAGAACAGAGCTACACAATGGAACAGGACAGTTCTTAGGCTATACCAACTGCATGGAAGTTTACAACAATTGTGAAGAATTATACAGAAAAGAGTATTTCTAACAATACTCAAAAGATTGCATGTCCTGATACTTCCTGTATCAACACCAAGGTGCCTTGCAGAATTAATACCCACCTACTTCAAAAGTTTGTTGCTGTATTACTAATAGAAAAGCTTGCTTGTGAGTAGAATCACAAACCTTGACAAGTGATCCTAAGTGGAAAAAATATTCAAGACCACACAGAAATTCAGCTTTCTATTCATTAAGATTTTATTAATGGAAATTGCTATTTTCCAAAGGTATTTACTTATAGTTTATTAAAAACTTTCCTTCAACAGCAGTCTTCAACTACTGCAGCTAAGGTCTATAGAGATTATCTTAATGAAGCAATCAACAGATTAATATTTTTATTTTCAACTTTTTGCCTTTGTTTTCTGTGAAGAAGTAAACCAAGTAATTTAAACATATATAATACTAGCATTCTATGAGTTACTCAGTTGTTTATATGCCAATTCAGCCAGGTCTATCAGGTCTATGCTATCCTATGCCCTCCAAAGTAGTTATTACTTCCAAAATTACACTTGAAAATCACTACTACGTAATAAATGTGAAGATGAAAACAAATTAAAATCTCATAAAATTATGTAGCACATCATCTTACCATCATTTTTTCAAAGAGATCCATAACTTCTTTTTCTGATAAATTCATACAGCGCTCATCAACAAGTGCCTGGGCAAGTGGGATTTCACTTATAGAAGGTTGAGAGTCGATAGGATGCTGAATGAGAGGTTTCTCCTTTTTCACTGCTGATTTTCTGAAGCTTGTTATTCTATCACGCTGAAAAGACATCCATTTAAAAATAAGGAGAAACAGAAATATAGGAAAGCAGCCAATTCCATGGCAGTAATACACAAATATTTAGTTAATCCAAGCAGCAGAGTTAAAACTCAAACTGAAGTAAAAATACTCTAACACTCAGAAATTACTTTTCATACAAAACAACATTTAAGGAAAATTCATGACAGGTTACATGCAAAAGGGATATAACTATTTCTCACAGATTCAAAAGTATACCATCTATGTTAAACTCCTAGCATTTCAAAATCCTGAGTTCATCTTCTCACATTACTCCCTAATTATCCTGATAGTGAATAAACATGGTACCACAAAGGTAATGTCCAAGCGTTCCTTCACCTGAAGAGCTATAAGTCTTTGGAGGACAACTGAAAAAGCCAGCGTTGGGAAGGAGGTACTCACAAGTTCATCAGGCTTATAAAAAAATCCTGCTAAAGTAAAATAAAGTTTGTAGAGGAATTAATGCTCCAAGTATAGTTCACAATTCCTTGATGTGTTTTTCAGTACGGACTCCTGAAATTAGTGCATAATTTTAAAAGCCAGGTAATGGATTACTCGCATAGAAGCAGCCATCCATAGTTAAATACACGTAACAGACATTAGTGAAAGCATATCATACAGTCTGCAATGACGTTTCACCAGTTAAAGCTGACTTATTTTTGCCTTATACCAAACTCACCCCCCTTTTAAAGCATGCTTGCTTACTCAGTTAATTTGTTAATATTGGAAACAACCAAGAGCACCTTCCTTATAAGGCCATTTATTACTGTATTATTAATATATAACTCTATTCTCAGTAGAGTCTGAATTTTTTTATTTAATAATACTGTCTTTATACATATATGCATGTTCATTTTGAGAACATTCTGTCTACAAAGATTTTTCTAAATTAACTGTTTGCATCAACAAATACCAGTGTATTTGTTTCAGGCACTGAACAGCCTTATGAAGACGTGCTTTCATCTACTGGCAGCTTATGTAGGGTTACCAGTATCGTTCATAGCAGTTATTGCAATCTCTGTGAAGACATGTACACCAAAATCTATATTTTCTATAATTAAACAACCTCTGTGAGGTGTGAAAAGTTTAATAGAGTATTTCATTTGTAGGAAATTTGGAGTCACTTTAGATTAGTCCAGTCAGGAGTGCAGAAATTTCACCAAATGCTTCCCCAAGGAATATGGGGAAGAAAGGTTCTTTCTTTTTTTTATTGTTTTGTTTCTTTTGTTGTTGTTGTTGAAGATTCTATAAGACTATCTCACATTTTTGAAGGGAAAGTATCCCTAGATAAGCTGCATGCCCTTTGAATTCCTTTGCAGGTTTGTTTGTTTGCTTTTGAGGGGTGGGGGTTGGGTTTAGGTTTTCTTCTTCCTTAGAAGCCTTACATTTGTGGACAGAAACACATTACCTACAAGGATACTGTTCATGTCTTTAACAATGCAAGAATTGTGCTTTAATACCATTTTTCCTTATTAGAATAGTTTACATTACTTTTTTTTTAAAATTAAAATTAGAGCACAGCCTATTTAAAAGGCCAAAGATATGACATAACAGCTGAAAAGCAGTATCCAAAATTAGCCAATAGACATCCAATGCAGTTTTACTGTTCGCTTGCATTAAAATGCCCATTCAGCAGTCACAAAAAAAAAGCCATTTAAGATCAGTTTCACCACACTGTGATCTGTTTCAAGTATACCTTATTAACAACAAATTTGTTTAACTAGATTGCAATGGTGAGATCACTTTAAAGACATGAATGAATCTTCTGCATTATTAGGCACAATTCCTTCTTTTCAGACATGTAAATGATGATTAACTAAGTGGCCAGTGTGGTTTAACTATTATATATAGAAAATAAAAGTTTATAATTTTATTGTAATCAATTGATACAAGTTTCTGTAAAAATACTTTGCAACAGGTTTCAAAGTATTCAGATTTATAAAGTTGGTGCTACTGAACACAACCTTGTTGTTCGACATAAAGTACACAATTTTGTAGTCAAAATGGTTCCACTTGTATCATGTGGCAACTAACTTGGAAAAACCATTGCAGATCCTTTACTGTTAAAAAGGTCAAGAGAAATAACACTTGAACTGTTGAATAACAGTTTTGACGTATCCACAGTATTGCTAAAGTATGACGAATGTGGTTACAGAAGCCTCTCTGACCACATGTCATTAATTACTCTTCTTCAACTGAAGTTACAAATGAAACTCTTGAGGAACAGTAATGCAATTTTCTGAAATCTAATGCTTCAGATCCTTATAAGAACATGTCATATTGTCCACAACATTTGGAGTAAAATAGCATGCAGTGTGGAGTTACCATTGCAAATTAAGATGTTACAAAGACCTTACCACATCATCTGCCAAAGTTTTTATTTGAATATTCTATTAAAAAAAAAACACACACACAAATCAAAGAAAAAAAGACAGTTACCTACTGTTTCAGAATGAAGAAGGCTATATTTCATGTATTTTAACATTTAAAAGCACTTGATATTCCAATAAGCATTGCAACAACACCACAGCTAAACAAGCACAGTATCTACTGCATTTTATGTGAAAAAGTGGGCTTGCATCCCATTTCCCCTTGTCTTTTGACTATTTAACTCATGAACCTGAAATTTGTACCACAGTTTCACAAAAGCACCCTCAAAAGCACCCCCACAATTTCACAAAAAACGCAGTAAGATCTCTTAGAAAGCTTTCCAAAACAGACCACTGGACTTCAAACCGAGTCAGCAGATAGCTATATGATATTCTCAAAGTTTTTTTGACAGAGTTTTTGAGACTCAGAGTTGAGAATTTCCTGTGCCCCAGCTCTTGAGCTTTCTGCCAATTTCTCACCACTTCATTTCCTAAATTCACCTTAACACTGAGTAATGTAAAATGACAGATGAACTGTTTAAAGCCAGTGTACTGATGATGCACAAACCAGTCACTACTCTCTCTCCCTCACTAGTACCTTCTGTACCTTCTCACTTTTTCCTTAATGGCAGTAAAATCCTGCTGACAAAGATCACCAATGTTACATTTTTATTCACAGGCAAAAAAGCAATCTATATTGCATACCAATATCAATAATCACATCAAGGAAGTATTTGGGGTGTGACAATCCAAGACAAAAGCCAAAAAGAACACCTGTATATGAAAAAGCACGGTAGTTCATCCACAACGACACAGCCCTGCAAGTCACTGGTCAGGAAACTGCGACCCTGTTTTCCTGGACAGTAACGTTTCAGATTCCTTGGTCATGTCCCCACCAGCCAAAATGATCAAGGCGCTTCTAGTCGACATCCCATACCACTGTGTACTGTTAACACAGTGGGTGAATTCAACGTACTGAACCTGTGGCTGTTCAACATATACCACACATTTACTTTCCCTTGGTGGAATATATTAATACAACATGCTCCTTCTAATTCTTCCTTCTCTCTCTGGGCTACAGTTGGCAATATTTCATTTCTGAAATAAATAAAATTTGCAACACTATACAAATAGTGGAAGAGGTGTCAAGGTGGGAAGGAGGGGCAACGTGTTCATACTTTAAAAGTATAACAAATATAAACATTCAGAGGTACCCAGGACAGTGTGGTGGATTGACCCCAGCTGGCAGGTCAGTCCTCACCCAGCCACTTGCTCATTCCCTTGCTGCAGGACCAGGGAATCAAAAGTGCAAAAGCATCAAAGACTTACGGGGTTGAGATAAAGACTGTTTAACTAGTGAAGGGGGGAAAAAATACATATAAAGAAACAACAATGCAAAAGCCATCACTTACCATCAGCAGACCAATACCTACCCAGCCTCACAACTGCTACTTTGGAGAAAACTCCTTCCCACCCTGCCACCCCTGGTTTTGTTACTGAGCATGACATTATAGGGTATGGAATCTCTCTTTGGTCAGTTGGGATCAGCTGCCCTGGCTGTGTCCCCTCCCAGCTTCTAGCCCATCCCATCCTACTCCTGTGGTGGGGGGACACAGTAAGAAACAGCAAGCCTTGGCATTAGGTAAGTGCTGCTCAGCAAACCCCAAACCACTGGTGTTTTTATCAATGCTGTTTTGGTCAGAAACCTAGAATAGAGCACCATGTGGGCTGCTATGAAGAAAATCAACTCCACCCCAGCCTGACCCAGCAGAGAGAGCTACAGTAATATCTTTTTCTCTTACTACTCCGGATAATGACATCAACCTTTCACCTTTCTAACTGCCGTATCTCCAACATCTTCCTTACAGCTACACCTCTCCTGCATTTTTCTTACCTGGACTCAGTATGGAGTTAAAAGAAGAAGGAATACTCTACTCTTGAAATCAAAACTAAGGTGTCCTTATCTGGTAAACAGACTTTTTATTCTTAATGGAGATTGAGTTAGAAGTCCAAATGAAGTCAAGCCTAACCATGGCTTCAACCCAGAGACAGCTGTGGATGCAAGAAGTTCTAAAACTCTGTATCCATTTTAGCAGCCACTTCTACTAGAAATATTTTTTTCCCTTCTCATTTAAGTACTGTCAATCTCTCCCAGAACCTGGAACAGGATAATCTACTCCATCTCTACATTTATATTGCATTTGCCACTCAAACTCCTCTGGGCAAAGTACAGAATACTAAAGCAAGATACCACACAGCATTTTTTCAGACATCTCAAGCTCACTTCCCAGATCTCCTTATGGTGCATAAGTTACAGTGCTGCCAGAAGCTACTCAAGATAAGCAACACATTTAACAGGTAGAAGAGAAACTTCAAGTAGCTGGAGGCAGATGCAAGGCAGTTATGTACCTGTAGATTCTCACTGACACACAATTTTGACAGTCTCTTATACTAACAAAGAAAACATGCTTCCAGTCTACCAAAAGTAGTTTACCTCCCTAGGAGGAAGTTTAAGATACTGCAGCTTTTGTAGTCAGTCCTCTAGCATTATTCTTTCAGACATCTGTAAGACAGCCAGAGCATCACAAGATAAAAAGAAATCAACCCTTTCCT